CTTCCACGAATGGAAAAATCCTATTGATTGAAATCCAGATGCGAAAGACACATGATTACCTCGTTTTCTGAATCAAGATGTCCTCTTGGTTGAGAGCCAAATGCAAAAAACACCTGATTGACTGGTCTTCTGCATCAAGAAATCCTATTGGTTGAAAGCCAGATGCGAAAAACTTCTGATTGGTTCGTTTTCTGAATCAAGAAATCCTATTGGTTGATTTCACTGACTTTAAGTGACTCAAATGCTCCAGAGTCGGCTGTTTTTTTGCTTGAGTTGGAGTCAACGGAGTCAGTTAGAGTCAATGGAGTCAGATGGAGTCAATGGAGTCAGATGGAGTCGATGGAATCAGTTGGAGTCAATGGAGTCAATAGAGTCAATGGAGTCAGTTGGAGTCAGTAGAGTCATGGAGTCACGGAGTCAGCTTTTCCCCCCTTGGAAAAGGTTCTTTTTGAAGAAGTGTAGTGTTCAAGTAGAAAAAGAAAATAGAATTGAAATGAACTTCATGTTTAGATTTTACGCAATTTAATAATACAGATAATCTCTTCAGCTGAAGAAATTGCAAGAGTTTAATATGCAAGAACAATCCATGAGAAAATAGAACAGTAAAATGAAGAGAAAATATTTTCGAAACTACCAAACATGGATACATATAAAGCGGCTATTGCATCACATGAAACTGATCTCTTTCATCATACTCACTATAATATCGAACAAGTATTACAGATAATAGAAGAACAAGTGAAAACGATAGGCAATGAGCTGTAAAATGACTTCCGAAAAACAAGTTAATTGCATGCAATAGTATTTCTTATGTTTCTTTAGTATCAGACTTCTATCTTTAGCAATCTATTTCAGATAGAAATTGGACAAGAAAAAAATGTCATCTTCAACAAAAATCGAAAATATCAGCAAAAATGATAAACTTTCTATTATATATGGATTGTGAGGATATTGATTTTAATCGAACAGAACAGATTACCTCTTGGTTAACGAATAATGAACAACATGAATATCAATCGAAAACATTACCAGATAAAAATAATGGACGATTTGCTTATTTACCATTATTTCCAACAAAATCGGTCGGTATAGATGATTGTTTACTTTTGGCTAATGTACTAGGTTCGTATTTTAACGTGTATCCACAAGAAATAATTTTATTTGTATGTTTGCTATCCATTTCTAGTGACTCGTCTTTTACCTCATGAAATTACTCGTCGACAACATAGAGCATACACCGCAGATGCACTCATACTGGTGAATACGTACAACTATTTTGATACATTTAGTTTGTCTGAAGAGCACGCTCAAGAATTAACTGCACGATTACAAGTCGGCAAATCCATCATTACTTTCAATGCTGATCGACTTCGTGGCATTTGTTGTACTCTTTTGACATTACATGAATCATTTCGCCGAAAGATTTTATTGAAGAAAGATGTTGCCTTGAAAAAACCAACACTCAATTCAAAACAAATGGCTCTAGTATTAGAATTCCATTTACAAATCGATGGTCAGTTTTCATACGCACATATCATCTCTCGATTTTATACCTATTTCTATTTTTGCAGTGGATCTATTCTATATGAAAACTTGTTCGTTTCGAGAAGCTGTACCTCGATCTAGAAGCGAAGGTCTTTTCTGTGGAAAAGATGAACATCAAGCAAGATATTCAGTACTTCCATGTGGCAATCTATTCTGTTTATGTTGTTATCCTATCAATAGGCACAAGAAAAGAGAAGCATGGCCTGTTGTAGATTTTACTTCCAGTTCCATGCATCAATTTGTTAATGGATATACGACTTATCTCAATTGTCCAGCAGTAGATTGTTATTGTATATACATATAATTTTTATCAATGAAGTCTTTTTGTTGAAATTTAGACATGTACCACATTGAATATAGTCTATGCTATGACATGTCCATGTGGCTATTATGATTATATTAATTCAACAGCAAAAACATTGACTGATGCAATGGCATGTAAGTATCAATCTCTTTAGACATATAATCTGTTTTCTAAATTCAGCTTTTCTTCTGATAAGACAGATCATCGGAAACATGGCAATCGTATTATCCATGAAAAATTAACGGGTAGTGCACTCTTTCGAGATTCATTACTCGATCCAGAGGAACAAGAGTAATAAATATATATATATATAATCGATCCATTTCATTATGTCATAGTTTTCTTTTTCAATCCTTTTAGAAAAGATATGGCTAATAAGATGCGTCTCTATCAACATTCAGCTCGATGTCCAGTAGCACTTCGTGCATTTCTAGATTGCAATCCAATCTATTGGTGTTTTATTCCTCTATATTGGAAAGATGCACTATCAGACAATACGACTTATTACCGAGGACATACTGTGAGAGATCCTATATTGGCAAATGTAATGGCCACAACTGCTATACATAGTCATCGCTTGGCTCAATATCTCGATCGTGTACCTTTACCACCAGCTGGCTATATCTTTTCATATCGACAACTACAAAAACAGCGTATATTTTTCGAACGTTTTGTCGATTCTTCTATTCACGAATTACCCTATGCTGTATTGGATTTATATAAAATGGCGATTATTGCGATTCGTAAGTGAATTCCTCTCTTGTTAGATTTTTATTCTATTTTTCTCGTGTTTTCATGGATCTAGTACCTGATGATCATTCTATTCAATTACGTTATATTATTGAAACATTGTTTATTATACATGATGAAACTAAATTAAATATGATTTGTCCAATTGGTAGCGATGTTGAGCGACGTTATGGTCCTCCATACAATTCTGTTTGGTGTGCTAATTTGAATTATTCATCGATATGAACTAGAACATTGACTCAATAAAATTCTCAAAATATGAAATGATCACCTTTATAAATAAATTTTCATTCAATCTAAACTATATGAACTAACGAGTAGAAAATAGTGATGCTTTCGTATTTGTGTTGACCTTTCTTTTTTGTAGTTAATTTATCACACCCATTCGTCTTTCTTTGTCTTGTTCTTACATTTTCATTTTGCATTTCTTTTATTGATTTAGTCTATGCTAAATCGAATATACTTATGAGAAGTAGTTTCTATTCATATTAATCAAGATAATGTTATAATTTTAGATAAAAAGCATTGAAAAACAAAAAAAGAAAAATTTGAAATGTTCTACAATTTCTTCTTCTATATGTGCCTCATTTTATCAGGCATTTTTGAAAATTGCAATGGATTATCTCTTCAAACAAATTGTACACAAGAAATGACTACATCGAATGTATTGAATGATTCAATGAATTTATTTCAAAGACATATGGCTTTACAAGAAATGAAAAAATTATTCAAACCATATACGCGTACAATCTTTTCGCAAGACAACAATACTAAGCCAAAACCATCTGACATAAATACATATAAGTCTGACATATATGTATTACAAAAAATTATCCGCGACTACCATACCATGTTTGATACTTTACTTAAGAATTCCATGAATAAGACATCTATGAGAGAAGATGTTCATCATGATTATTTGAATACACATCCAACAGAAACAATTTGGCTCTATCTAATTAATTTCTCCTTGTTGAGCATCTCTATAGCTTTACTAATTTATATAGGATTATCAAAGATCAACTTAATTCAATCTCGTCCTTACTTATCCACTTTTGCCTCACACTTGATGTCTCATTTTTACAAACAGCCATCCCGACAAGATGTAATGAAACTTCAACGTATTGATCAAAATAAAGATGGTTCACCAGCAACCACATCAATTCCAGAGAAAATCGTTTAATGCAACATCGAATAAAGATATTAGTTAGCATGGGATATGAACGTGTATTTCGAAAAACTTTTAAAACAGAGCTAACGCTTATTGCATGCTCTTTTTCAAATACCTATTATTTCAATTTGGCAAACTTTTTCAAACATTCTAGTGTTTCAATGAAAAATGTAGTGTTAGAATTTACTTTTTGCTGTAAAGAATTTTTTAATGATTCTAAATAGTCTTCTTGAATCTATTCAATTATATTCGAACAAAACTCATTTCGAAATTCAGTGAAATATTTTGTATGTTTTTATTCAATGATATTAAAACATTATCTTGTTTTTTTTTTCGTTTTGCTTTTCATTTTTATCAGTATCTCTTCACTCTTATTATTCGAAAATAAATCATTTTTCTTTTCTTCTATTGTAGATATATATAATTATTACCATCTTTTCAAAGATCAAAACGGGTCGATCAGCTACACTGAACATATTTCACATATTTGCAGTAAGTACGACAAAGTTGGTAATCTTCTTTATTTACGAAGATATCATTAGTCGAAACGAAATCATTGAAGAAGCGAATTGCTCTGATTTGTCGTGTCAGTAGAGTATTTTGTATATTTCAACTATTTTCAGGTGAAAATTGAGTTATCTATAGAAAATACACATAGGATAATATCGACGAATTTCCACTCACTATTCTTTCAGAATTTCTCTATTGAATTACTTAGGATGAATTTGAATAATTTTTTATGAATAATCATGTAAAATAATATCAATATCTATTTAATATTTTTGAGAGAGTTCGTCTATGCGTATGCATATGAAAAATATTTTGCTTTAGATTGAAATTGATCAATCATGATTAAGAATTTACTCTACTCATATGTCTTATTGATTTTATTTGGTTTTTCCAAATTTAATATGATTCTTTCATGTACTGGAACTTCAGCATTGAAAAACAATGATTCAACATGGGCACGATGGATAACTACAGCTTGTGATTTATTTCTCTCAATCTTATTAGGTTTTAGTTTATCTTCACTAATAAATTATTATCAACAACGAAAAGTCATATCTATCCTTCAAGTATCAACTGAACAAATCATGAGTAAATGTGAAAGAAAGCTGAAATTCAATAAGCATATACCCCAAAAGACTTTATCTGAGTTTGTACCGTTACAACCTTACCGAGTTATTGTCATTCGACAACAAAGATCACCTGTCATCGTCAATGAATTAATTATCGAAGCTCGAAAAACAAATAGATTTACAATACATCCATATGATTATAAGTCTTCTGGTGATCATTATCTCGAAATAGAATTCTTACAACAATCTTCTTCTTCTATTATAATTTCTATAGAAATTTTTCATCAACAGAATCTTTTATTTGAAAGAATCGATGATTTGCTCTCGATTATCTTACATTCATCGAATATGATTTATACATGGAAAGATTTCGATAAAAATTTAATCGATTATCAAAGTTATCAAGTCTTTTTAAATGGTGACATAAATCAATGTCATTTCGTCAATGTTCAAAATTGTTTTAAAACGTGGTATAATACAACATTTGGTCATAATCAAAATTGCAATCAGCTTCTTGATTTTAATGATATCGATGGTCCATTATGTTCATGTTCACATCGACCTGTTAAATGTCCAACTGAGCAATGGTCTTTAACAAATACTATTGCATACACATTTCATTAAAACTTCTCTAATGGAAGTACTAGTTCAAAAACATGTCCAGCCATTACAAAACTATTTTATATTATTCAAAACAACTGGACACGTCAACAGATAGAATATTTCCGAAAACAATGTCATATCAATTCACCAGTAAAAATTCATCTATGTTTAATAATACATATAGGGAAAAGCATATTTTTCTATTCTAGAATGGATAATATTTCTCTATTTTCATCAAATCTATATGCAAGAAATGAACTTTCTGATTTTTTTTTGTCTCTATGTAAAATAAATGTTATAATTTTTACTGTTCTTTCTTTT